TTTTAGAGTGAGACTAACCCACTGTAGTGCCCAAGAGGCTGAATGTAGATTACACAGCAAATATGATTCTGCCAGTTCAAGTGCTCAAACTAGAAAATGTCAGTAATAAAGTTTTTATGTACACTTGTTGTAAGTGATATTTATATATGGTGACTATAATATTTAAGAGTGCCTAAATGACAGCTACAGATGGTTTGCAGAAGATTGTGCAGACTGTCTGAAGCAGGAGTCAAAAAGACAGGACACAGTGTAATTCAGCGTTCACCATTCAGCTGAATAAGCCTCTGCAAAAACTTCCACTAATGAATTTCCCAATAGTAACATCCTCATGTAGTATCAGGTAATTGTGCTGGTTTTGACTGATGGGAAGAAGTGCTTGAATCAATCAATCCCAACTCTAGAAACTGAATCACACAGATATTCACACCTTTTTATTTTATACTCAGCACACCAGCACAGATCCTTCCTCCAGTCTTACGTCAAGAACTGCCAATGCTTTATTTAAGATGAGCCTTAAATACGATTGTGAAATTAATTTGCTTACAAACACAGAATCCTTATGCTTTTCAGACTTTTTAATGTTACCCTAGGTAACTAAAATTGTTTCCACACATACTGTTTTCAAAATGCAAAGAGGAAACACAAATAACCAGTAACAGTTATTCTAAGGCACAAATGGAGCTCAGCACCATTCTTCACGGCATAACATTTCAAAGAGAAGTTTTTAATTACACAGTAGTGCTAAGTCACAGCTATCATGCGTAGGACATGTGCTGACGCTGGGCATGACATTATTTCATCCCATCTGCAATCAAACAAAAAAGTCACTGTAGTTGTGCAATCTTATGACAAGCATATGCCTAGAACAATAGCACTCACTCTGCAACTACTACTCAGTTCCTATTAGAGGATTGTAACTTGTTATTTATAAGCATCAATGGCATCTAGACACAGTATTTAAATCTCTCTCAGGAAGTGTTAAAAATGCTAAGAACGTTGCCGTGGTAGCAGACATATTATATTTAGTAAATGAACTCTGAAGTATTCTGTTGCATTAGTTAAGCATTCCACTATATTTATAATACTCAAACGATTTTGTTTTTGTAGAAAACCATCACCATCTAGAGTATAGATAACAGCAGAACAAAGAGCTCACATTCCACTGAGGATCCTTCAGGAAATTGTAAGTTTGAATGTTAACATAGTCAGTTAACATGTTGTTATGAATACCTCTTTTAAAAGTGAAAAGCAGAGCAGTCGTAACAGTATCAAGTTGCTTAGTTCTTTTGTTGGAGTGCAAAAGTTATGTATGCCAAAAAAACCTTGTAAATTGCAAAGTACATATTATATACAAATTAATAAAAATACAGCCCTAATTCACATTTACAAAGTTTCTGCTTTTGTTCCTTAAACAGTAACAATACAACACATTTTGTTCAGAATTATTTTATTTGGATTATAGCAATTAGTATCACTGATCAGTAGGCCAAATCCAGGCAGAGAGCACAGAATCAATTTCACAAGGCAACAACACAGACTAGTGTTTTAGCATACAAACCATTTCACTGCATTATCAAGTAGAAATATCTTCCAAACATGCATAAAAAGTCTATGCTTAATCTTTCAGAGCTCCAGGTAATAGCAGATTTCTAAATATACAAAAAATACATTTAACTTATAATAATCTTAGTGAATCAGACTTATAAAATTACAATTTTATTCTTCACAACATAGAAAAAAATACAAAAATGACTGTATATTTTTCACCCAAATTTCACCAACATAAATATACATCAAAATGTATGATTTGATGTATACTCATGAAAATTTTAAGCTGAAAGATAGGCTTTAAGATGACACTGCAGATTGGTCCACACAAATGCCAACCTTTCTACTGATAAATAAAAAAAAAAACCCCAACTTTGATAGAAACATCACATTGTGAAAAATTACAATTTACCTGCACTGTAACCTGCATCTTACTGTAATTTACAATATGAACATTTCTACAATTCCAGTTGTAAACTATACACTGGTAAGAACCTTGGTCTTTTAGAGCGTAATGACTAACTCGGACAAAGCCAGCACGGCAGAACATAAAAAGTATTGTCGACTGAACCAGTCCGCACAACACAAAGACTACCAAAGCAGAAAACAAGGCTGCTGCGGAAGTTTGGTGATGCTGATGGAAAACATGCAAGCCAAATAAATAGTCTGTGGGGGGGAAAAAAAAAAAACCCTCTAGATTTGTGACAACGAGTACTAATCAAAGCTTCTGTTATAAAGTTCACATAAACCACATTACAATTTCAGTGACAGATGAGGGGAAATTTGTTCTTATTTTACGAGGAGGAAAACACCCATACGTGTGACTGAAGTCAGTATTAGGGAAAAACCCAAACAGTATTAGGGCATCGCACTACAGTTCTTGCTCAAGATCACTTTCCAGTGATTTCCACAGAAGCTAAACTTGAAAAAGCACTGCAAGCTGAAGTGCTGGAATTCTTGTACATACTAACTGCATGTTCATACTTCAGAATATAATTTTTAAGTCAACTTTGCTGATAAGACTTCTTACTATCAAAGCAATTTCTTTATCTTTTAAAAGGAAAAGTAACTCTGTTTTCTTTTAAAAGTCTGTAGTTTATTTGCATGTGTGGTAAATTAATATTGTCAATTAAAGTAAATATTCCATAATAAAGCTTATTCAGTAAAGACATTGGTTGTACAAGCCTTCTCCCTACTGGCAGCTCCCTCTGCTTTTCCGTAGTGCCAATGCTATCTAATACAGATCTATACTACATCCTTCTCATCTACAGAGCTATGAGTTTGTTTCATATAGGAATATTACACAGCCATTTTTTTCTCCAAATTGGACCAACAAATTTGAAACCAAATCTTTTATTTGGACACAGAAATCAAATCAAGAAAAGTTCAGGAGCTGAGCATCGACAATATCCAGTAACCCAAGTACATCAGGAAATCAGATCTTTTAGATGACATCCTTCAGAAATGCTAACTCCTTTGATAGCAAGTATAAGCAAAAGGAGAGGTTTTGTTCAGAGGTGGAAGTTTACACTTTTGAACAATGAGTTCAGTATAATGCAACATTTCTCAGATCACTACAACAAAGCACCACATAACCTAATGGAGAAATGAATTGAAATTGTTGCATCTTTGAATGCAAAACCAGTTTAAGGTTGTATATGGCCATAGCGTTTTTGATTACAGCCAATAACTGTCTCCAAAAGGTTTAAAATAGAAGCAAAGATCCTTATTGTCTCTTACCCTCTCCCTGCTTACAATAGTCCTGTTTGTTTTGAACAGGAAAGGTGTTATACGTGTTACTGAGCGCTAGGAAAATTCAGTCAGACTTTTTGATGGAGCCAGAGGAAATGAAGAATGCAAAGTAGTTTGTTTTTTTTTTAAATACAGCTCTGACAAACATAAACTAAAATAATTGTAAATCCAGCTCTCCCCAAGTGCTAGAACAGAGAGCCTGTGCCCTTAGTGCTTACTGGCTATGTTTAGGGAGAGCTGCAATGCGTCAAGCACAAGTAACTGGGACGCAGATTATGGGCCACGTCCAGGGGGAGGTGCTGGCAGGCACAGCACAAGACTAGTATTGCAGGTACCATGGTAGTGGTCACACCTCATTTATGCACTAAATCATGATGTTACAAGAGGGAAGCCAGAGAAGCCCTTGTGTTGTTGTCTAGTGGCTCTGACTGGGAAGACAGGACTATTCAACTATCAATTCCTAATAGAGCAAAGACCATAACCTACATTTCCTTTTGCCTTTGATTGGAAATCTGTTCATTTCCTGGCTCCCTTTGTCCCTTCCATTCCTCGCCCCCACGCCCCCAGTCAAAAGTTTGTTCAGAACTCGGGGCACTGCTCACACAGCATTAGTGCATTCCGCCTTGCCACAAGGTTTTCTCAGTTCTTTCATTTTCTGTTTCACCTTCCCAAGGGAAGGCTTAGCCTGAGAACTTAGAGAAAGCACCTAGGAAAATTGATCTTTCTATGGTCTTCTGCTCTTTCAAAAGAACAGATGAGGGAAGGCTTGTCCAATCTGCAAAAGCAGCATGTAACACATGAGATAATCTGCTTTCAAAGAAGGAGCTTTTACTTTGCAACACTTCAGAAGCTGAGTGCCTGGAACTGCCTGCTTGGATGTGCCAGAGTGATACGCATTAGTCACTTGAGAAAAGTTAGGTTGAGGAACAAGGCCCTCAAATGTTTCCACAGTAGACCAAATAGTCCTCAACACTGAAAGATGAGTACCACTGAGATAGTGGACAGTGATTAGGGATGATAATTTAAAGTAAAAAAGGGAGAACTGCACCTGTTTCTGGGTATTGTTTAGATTCATTACTGATATCACCAAAATATTACAGTTAGTATTATATTTTTTTTTAAATGTTTAAAAAGGTATGCAGTACTTAAAGGAGTTTTAATGTTTCAGATAAGCATCATAGCCTCTGAATTAACATTAGCATTTGAGTAATCACCTTAAACAAGATCTTCAGAGAAAACTTTCTGATCAGACACCCTACTGTTTAAATTCCTAAAGAACCACATTCCCCTCATTTCCCATAATTGGTTTCCTGTTCTTGTTCCCATCACCTTTTAAGTATGCAACCTACATTTCTAAATTCAAACACTTTGCCCAGATTACATTGTCCACTGGAGTCTCTGACAAAATCCTAAAGTATTCCAGAGCATATTGTTTGCTTTCACAGCAATACATACAGTTTCTGGCATGCAGTCAAGCACTTAAAAAGAGGTATCAGTAATATAATCCCAATTCAAGCAGTTAGTGGGTACAACTTCATCACTCATACTGCAACCTTCAGGCATTTAGTAATAAATGAAAACCATTTAGCACATCATTTAAGGAAAAGGTAAAGGCTAACTGCCAAGCCATATAAATTTTAAAAGTTGTCTGAAGCACTGCAAGCGGAAAATTATTTCAATGTTTTACATTGTGGAATTTCAGTGAAATCAGATATATTGGTTATTCTTGCTAAATTATTGGTCTTTTACCTCTGACTTATTTTATCCTGGTATATTCTTTATAAATGTGCTGGGTATTGAAAATCTGCAGCATCTTGATGTTTGAAAAGTTCTGAAAAAGAGTTGGAATTACTCCGACTTCTTGTGTTCTTCAGTGTGGGAGAGTACCTTTCGCCTCTGATGTAGCATATGAAAATACAGCTGGGGAAAGACTGAAGAGAAAACAGACTTAAGTAAATAAAGTATGAAGTGAGGCTTACGTGTCAATGTAAGATGCACAGTCACATGCTCAAGGTCACCAATTCTCTATTAAAAGAAAACATGCTTATCCACCTTCCGCTCCAGTCATCTATTGCCTTTTATTCTTTCAAGAGAATAAGTGATATTGTCTTTAGGCTTCAGGTACTATTTATTTTTTGCTAGAGCAATCACATTTTTAATTAAATGCAAAATGTCTTATTTAACTCTGCAAGTACAAGCAGGATGACAAAAGTTTCCTGAACTGCACACACACAATAGAAAGAAAATACGCTGCAGGGAGGAAAAAGTCCTTCCAAAAGAATGACATTTCCAGATTTGTTTCGTTTCTTACAATCCTAGTGTCACTTTTTCAGGATCTAAGGAACTTTATACAAACTGGTGCCTCTTTTATCTCTTCTCTCTTTATCCTCCATGCAAAGCTTTTTCTCCTCCTATTTCTAAGACTGTATTACACAGTATGTTTGCAAAACAACAAAGTAGAGGATGGAAAACATACATACATAAACAGCAAAAGCTGAAATTTCCATGAGACACTAAACCTTTGTGAACCGTATGAAAATTAAACAAGGTCAGCATCAGCCTAAATTATATCAGTTACACACGCAAAGTGTTCATCATAAACATCGGCCAAAGTCTACTTAATTTGTGTACTAAATTTTTTTTCAGGTCAACATTTTTTCTTTTGGCTTGCTTTACCCTGTAATTCATTTCCTGATTGTTTGCCCCTTATCCTGATTCACTCCACCAGTGTTAAGGAGTGAATACAGCTGTCCAGAGACATAACAGAATACAGTGCCATGTGTTTTCTCCATTAGAAGTCTAAGTAATGGGGATCCATTATATGAAAAGAATTTAATGACATCTTTTCTAGCAAGATGTCAATTTTGACAGCCAAGTACTAAATTAGAGATTTAAAGTGAAGTAAATAGTAAGATGCAACTATCAAGAATGTAAAACCTCAATTTTTAACAACAGTTTTCAAAGCTTGCTTTCCTTGTGATATTAACATTCCCAAAAGTTCCAAGATCTGCAGTGGGTTCAGAAGGCGTAACTCCTGCATAGGTAGCTTTTAGGAATGAACAACCAAACTATGGTGCAATCGGTGACTGCAATGAACATTGCTTTTCTTGTATCTCAGGAACACCACATGAATACCTTCATGTGAAAAGGCACCTAAGACTGCTTGAGTCCAAGCAATTGGTTCTAAGAGTTAATGTACCAATTCACAATAATAATTAAAAAAAAAAATTTTTTTCAAAAAGACTGCATTCAAGTTACACATCCAGCAAACGATAACGGATCACAGAAAATACCTCATTTAAAAGACACAAATTTTAATTGAGAAAGTGGGCTAAAATTGTTACTTGGGTTCAATGTGGGTTCTCTCCCACGTGGCCTGTCAACTGTGATCTAGCTACCGCACAAGTAGTAAATAATACTCGTGGCTATTTTGACTAAAACAAAAAATATTATTCTGGCTGCTTGGAGTTAATAACATCACCATTTTTGGAGGAGGGGGACAGAGAAACAAATGCATGAAAAGTGGTGGGTTTTTTTTTTTTAAGAACAGCTGGAAAAACTTGTGAACATTGATGTCAGAATTACAAGATGGTTCACTGAAAGTGTAAGTGCTTGTTAGAGACAGCCACACTACTGAAATTTGTATCTTTGAATATGGTTTATCATTCTGCACAAACAACAAGGTTCACGTAAAGACAGCTGCAGAGATAGCTAACAGCAGCAACATCATCACTACATTATTCTGCATGATAGATTTTATTTGCACATATAAATTTGCTAAAAGCTTCCATGTTCCTATTCCCCATTTCAAAGCAGCAAAGCCAAATCTTCATTCCATCTATAGAAACATCAACCAGAGATTATGTCAATTCAAGTTAATTCAACAGAAATGGTTCCCTACCCACTAATGCAAAAGCAGTGTTCTTATTCCTGATAAAGAACTAAATGTTTAGAAGCTGTTTTGAACTTTCTTCTCCTAAAAGTCTGTAAGTGGGGGGAAAAAAAAATGAAGATGTCAACATTTGCCAAGAAGTACCATAGTTATTTAATATTCCAAGTGTAAGAGAAAAAACATGTATTATTGTTTTGCAGGTGTTGGTAGAAAGCAATCCCTGCAGTTTTAACTCTTTTTTCTTTAGATAATTTTCAAAATTAATTTTGCAAAATTAGTTATATGTATGTTAATCCCACAATTATTAGCTTTTCCTGTTACAGCTTTCAATACTAAAAAAAAAAAACCAAAAAAACAAACGACAAACCCTAACTCACTCATACTTACTTGGAATGTAAGAGATCATAACCAGGATCAGGAATGTATAGTAGTCAAAAGAAAAATTGTACTTGTTAGGTAAACTAATAGAATACAAGCCAGACTGCCTGACGAAGGGTAGTGCAGCATATATTGTGAGTAGTTCGCCCGAGACTCCCATTGGATACAATACTATAAACAAAGTGTACCTAGAACAAAACATTTACAGAAAGGATTAAAAGTTATGACAAACTCTGACAAAGTATTTGTTAAAAGCTATTATGGATATTCAAATTCTAAATTCTCAACTCAGTATTTATTTCCCTTAGCTCTTATTTGATTAGAACATGGCAAGGTGTGAACATTATTGCAAGATAAGTATTCAAATCAGCAATCAGTTTGAATTATTTAAAGATTACCTTTGAGAATCTGAAAACTAATCTTTAAAACTGCTCTCCCCCACCCCCCACTTTGTTACTTTGATTTCTGAACTCTTTGGTAGAGGTCATTATATTACTTAAAACGGGGTCAAACACAGTTGATATTAATCAATGAGTTTACAGATTGTTTCAAGTACAACCCTTGGATTCAAGGGTTACTGTTAAATGTCAGTTTACTTACTGTTACCCCTTACTGCTAAATGTCAGTTTCTGATAAACACAATCAATTCTTAAATGGGACTGAGTTCTGACAAACTACTCTTTCAGCTTACAATGTAATAGATTTTTTTAAGCCAGAAATCTGCTGAAAGGAAGCTAGGAAGTCACATTCACAAACAGGGCAATTACCTCAAGGTAGAATCTAATTTTTTGTACTGCAACTATTTTACAAGATAAATATCCCTGTCAAATCAGTGCTTTAAGGCTATGATTTCTATTATGCCACCTACCTGGCCCATTTAATGAGATAAGGGAGATGGTTTAACAAGCTAAACGTATAAAAAGAATAACGGATTATCTCAGTGATTGTCCAGGCCACCACAAACAACAGAACGCTATCTTCAGTTTGTACCTGTAAGAAAGAAAAAATGCTCAATATAAATTCAAGCATTACTTATTACTCACCAGACCCAAGAAAACCTCAAAGAAATCAATTCCCACGGGTTGCTTTACTGCACCATTTTAGAAAACAGACTCCAAGAATAAGCTTAAAAGCAACATCAGTAACGACAGTAAAAACTCCTTCTTATCATGCTCCATATTTTTCTAGTTGCTTAAGAACAGCTCTGCTTGGTGATCAGATAACTTAAGATCTCCCATCCTATGCAAGATAAATTAGTACAAGAAATCCCTAAAATGCTGAGAACAACTCATAACTCTTCCCATTCCTATACAGTACCAGCTTCTATTTCAGTCCTATGATTGCTTCCTAGTGCAGCAAGCAGAAAGGATGCTAAGACATTAGTCTAACACTTGGTATCTGGTTTAGACTTCATATTCTGATCCTAGTCCATGCTACTTCTGAGTAGAAGCACTGTTCTCTTTCTACAGATGAGAAACTGGGTCCTAATCTTGAGCAGCACCAGAACAGCTAACACCAGGACATAGGCTAGGAGGAGAAAAGAAACAGAAGCTCAGACTGTCTCACCTCAGGTAAGCTTGACAATTATCTGCTTCACTGTTCCTTGCTCCTTTTTCTGCTTACTGTATCCAGCATAGTTCCTCTAATGTTATATTCAAGGCATTATTATGTTTCACTGCTTTACACCTCTTAGAGCTTTTATTTCAGACACACGTCACTGAACGAGCTTTCACTCCCTTCATATTTTGAAGGTTAATCTTCAAAAGCATATATTTTAAAATTAATTATTAGATTTATTAGATTTGGGAGCATAATTATGAGGTTTAAGTTTCAGATGGAATAACTGATGAAGAAGCATATGGGGTCACATAACCCACACTACAAACTCTTGAGAGAGCAAACATGATTTTTATGCAGCCCTCCCCCTCCTTCCCTCCCCTTCAACAGAATTCTCAGCTGCATGAGTACCTTGAGCCCAAATTCAGTGGACCGTGGGAACAAAAAGAGCTCAACCACAGGGGCCTGCATTTTCTTTTTTCCTCCAACTCTTGAAAAAAGGGAAAAGGAAGTCAGTAGGTGTGGGTGGTACACTCTATTCATCTTGGGCAAAGTACATGTACAAACAAAAAAAAGGAACAAGAAAATATATGGGCAATCAGAAACCTTTTAGTAGGAGAGGACTGATCATATATTTGCATGTGAAAACGCTCATGAGGATTACCCATAAAAAGCTTTCTGTTACAGACTACAAACCCCAGAAAGATTTATACAGAAATCTCGGGATATCCTGGAATGTAGAGCTGCTGTTAATCTATATTCTGCTGCGTATAGAATTTCAAGTCACTTTCATTGCATTTTGCAGCAAATGCATCTTGTCCTTTTTCCACATGAAACTGATAATTTCCTTATATATTAATCCCCCTTACATCATCATAAAAGAACAAAATCCAAAATTTATTTGAAGATTTTCAGAGAAGAGACCAAATCTATTTTTACATTGCTACAGGATCCTAATCCTGTTTGGGGTCTGCTTTATAAGAAAGACTGACTTCTCAACCTGGAAAAGTTAACAGCACTTCACAGATGATGCTGTTCCCAAGAAGCAACATGCTTCACAAGCACTCCAGAGCTGCATCTTCTGGTCAAATCAGAAGTAGCAGCTTAGTGAGTTCATCTAAACCTATGCATCACAGATTTCACTGTACTTTGAAACCCCACTTCCTTCCCTAACTGTAGAAATCAGTAAAACTAACAAACAAAACACAAAAATTTGGAGCTTGAAGTAGCACCCAAGAACATGAGCAAGGACAAGAAACTGTGAAGCTAACAGTGAATGATACATGTAGAAGCAGAAAATCTGGCAGTTACAATCCAGTTCTATCACAGGACTTCTGTAACACGGCCTTCTCAGGTCTAGTCTTTCCCCACCTACTTTATTATTAGAACTGTGTTTAGAAGTTGTTAAAACAGTTCACATCATTATAAAACACACACACACAACCCTGTTAAGGTCACTTAAAGAATCACTGATTATGCCTTTATAGCTTTGTGTCCCTATTTAAGGAAGGAAGAATACTGGAAATTGGCGGTAGTTTTCATACAAAAGTGACCTATACAGTTTTCAAATAGTTCCATTTGGTGCAGTAAGGAACAGAAGACTACTGTGCATTTTCTCATGTTTTAAATACATTCCACTGCTCATCGTTAAAAAGTATGTTTCTTACACACTAACAGGTCTGTCAGAAGTCTGTCACTATTAGAACATCTCTTCGAGGACGGACAAATTTTTCAATACTTCAAATAAAGATGTCTGAGATGCACATTATCAAACCCCTGGGAACTGATTTACAAAACAGTCTCTGAAGAGTCTCATTCATTTAGGCACTGCTAATGCTGCATTTGTATCACTCCTCTTCCAAGTTGAGGATAAAGGGGATAGTACATCCAATAAAGAGTAGACCCTTAATAAACCACTAAGCCCAATGCTGCCCTCAGAACTCAATGTCTCTTCCTCTAGTTTTTCATGCCAGTCGTTGAAGGAGGTGTTAGACAGAGTCAAAGCACATTTTACACTTTATTTACAATTTATTTGTCCAACTGCCTTAATAAGGGTTAATCATACCACGGGCATAATTTTTTTGGCATGTGTTTCAAACCAATTTATCATCAAGGAGGGTCCTGAATATACTGTAGCTTATCTTCAATACTATGAATAGCAGACAATGTTTGTTAAGATATAAGAGAATCCATAGCCTTTTACGATGCAAAGATGAGAATTGGGAATTGACAAAATAAAGCCTGAGAGATTTTTACTGTTCTCCTTACGCGCAAAAAGGGAAATTCTATAGATTTCTCCACGTTACGAGTAACAGTTTGACAAACTATTTGCAGAAAATTTCAGCTAACCACATAATTAAGTAATCCAGTGCAGAAGAGTAAAACCAGCAGCACTATGCAACTATAATGATGAAACAGCACACCTCCCTCCAGAGCACTGGTTCTCTGGTACACCTATTTTAAAAAAAAAAAAAAAAAAAAAAAAGAGGAATCTTCACAGTAGGCACAAAGGGCCTGACAGACATTTGTGTTATACAGTATTACTCAAATTTTACACAGATGTAAAGCAGTGATGAGTCAGGCTTTTCAACTGCACTCACCCATTGAGAGGTCTGAACTTTCCAGCGTAGACTTCCTTTACTACAACTTAGTCTTAAATATCATAAATTAAGATGCTCTTCCCTCTTTAAGTATGCTTTACTACTGACTGAATATGTCAATTCACAACCGCAGATACTGGAGTCTTAATTACCAACTCAATATGCTGTACATGTCATCTTCACACCACCCCTTTTGACTGTCTGTTCTAGAAAGGTTCCTCTAAATATATACTATACTTATCTGCAACTTATCTGTAACTGCACCCAATTGGATAAGCATTAAATCACTGCTGACACCATTTTTTAATTACCCATCAGAACTGGGTGCAGAATTATCAGAATGGAACTCTACGAAGGCCTGCCATGATGTCACCAGATGATCTCATTGTTCACACAAATTAAAAAAGACAACTTTGAACTGAAGGGCACCTTCTGCCTACTTTCTTCTAGCCCTTCATGCCAGTCCGCTCATTCCCTTCCCTCCTTTGTAGAAGAAACAGTAAAATTCACCAAACCAATTCCTTTCCAATGTAATGACAAAATGATTACAAGTACTGTATTACATGCCAGGCCCTCCTCCACTAAGCTAACAGCTACTCATATGGTAGACGTAAGGGGAATCTCATTGCTACCCAAAGTGTGCAGTGCTTTAACATTTGCCATGCTTTAACATTTATTATAAATACTTTCATATCGAATTTAACAACACATCAGCACTAAATTCAACAAAAAGCACAAACATGTTAGTGGCAAGAAGCATGCTTCAAATCACATCACGTATCTAGAAGTGTATTCTGACAGAAAGGAGGGATGCAATACAGATGTTTCTTCTTTTAACTATATTATATATGAAAACAGTCTGGAAAAGCAAAATACTGAACAAGTCTCACTCAGAAAGTTAAAGAGGAAAACTGCGTTTTATTTTACAAGAACCTCATCATGCAACTGCATAGCTTACAGGTTCCATAAAGCTGTGTGAGAATTTAATCCTGGACTTCACCATGGAGCTCACTTGTGCAGACAGCCCTTTAGAAAAAGTAGAACACTCGTGACACTTTCAATACATCTCCCCAGGGTGAGACTGCATGCTCTCTGGTTGGGGGGAAGGGGAGGGGTCAGAATACAGCCTCTTCATTTGATTTATTTGCTCTAAGTCACAGGTGAAAAACTCATCACAGGATTCCTCATCCTTACCATTCTTATGCCCACTTTCTAAGACATTAAAAAGAAGTAACACATAATACAGTCTCTCGCAAGACTTTAACCAAAAGACCACACAAATGTGAGGAAAAAACTCGTGTAAATTGTTGAAAGAATCCTTGTTAAAAAAAGCCTTGTTAAAAATTGAATGTTAGGCTGAACTTGTTGCTCACATTTTCTCCCATTTTGCTGGTTTTCTCTGGTGAGAATGTGGGCATAAGTTTCAAAAAACCTAACCCACAATCATTTTACAGACTTCCCTTTGATGTCTAACAGACAACACATGGAATAATTCTAATCCATGCAATCCAACCTTTAACATTTGGGTTACTTCATAACCAGGAGACAATTCATAAAAACCGATTATCGCTGTTCTCTATGAAGCACCAGGTACCCCAACATTATAAAGGTAACAAGCAAAAACTACAGGCATGTTTCTTTAAAAATATTTTATACATGTATCTAAAATCTAATGTCTTGGCATTACGGCTTTTTTTTGTCCAAAATCTAGTATTTATCTCCAGTGAATTAACAGAGTCTGGAGTACATTTATTTGCACCAAAAGTGAAATCCATACAGAAGACAAATATTTACAAGATTTTGAGTTTATTGAGAAAAATAGCATTCCTCCACTTTAAATAGCATGAAACTAAGGCTCCCCACAAACAAGCATCATGATATCAGAAAGGACTGTTAATTATTAGGAACTACAGTGACTTATGTTACTCTACATGTTGATGGACGCTCTGATGACAGGTTTGGAGTAAGGAAGAGAAAGCAGCTTCCCTGAAGACTTGGTAATGCGACAAGCTCCTCAAGACATTCTCCATGTCAAGTCACAAAAGGTCTTACGCATATGACACTAGATGACTATCACTTATTTCAGGCAGCCATGCTGACACTGGCATCAAGACTAATTTCTTTCTTTAATGAGAAGAAAACCAGTAAGACTGGTTGGCTAAAGTAACAGCACAGATGCGGCATATCTGGGCTACTACAAGGTATTCAGATGACATGAAAGAGTCAGTCAGCATGATCTGTATCAGTTAAAGCATGTTTAGATTTTAAAATAACTGTCAGGAATAATTTTCAAATAAGAATGCTTCCAAAAGAGTCTGCAGAGATTTGTACAGCAATATTTGGTGTGGTAAGCAATGAGAAAAAACACGCAGGCCCCAAAACCTACCTACGCCTGAATGTAAGAAAAAATGAATGAAGGACAGAGGGAAGATTATCCTGGAAAGTGATAATGGAGAACATCCAGGCATTGCTGTGCACAAACAGTTCAGGGGGAGCTTCCACATGCAATGGTAAAGAAAGCAAATTGTGTATGAAAGAGGGGGCAGTGAGGAGATTTTGCTATTAATTATGGCACTAGTGAGATCAATACTAGAACGCTGTCCCAAGTTCTGGGTTCCATATTACACACTGGAACCTCTTTAACTTTCAGTAAGGACTGCAAAATCTATTCAGGAGCTAGATGTCTTACAGTGAGAGAATCAGACCTCAGTCTATTTGATTGTCAAGAAAAGATGATGTCAGATTTATTTTTATTTCTTTTGATCCACAGAAATTCACATAAACAATTTCACATTAGGGTACAAACAGAAGTCATTTTAAGGAAAATAAGACAGCGATCAACACTTGCTTTTCACCATGGGTCATTAGTTTTTCTATTTTGTAGCTTAACTTACCTCTTTTACACTATGTGTTACTGCCCACGTCAGGAAAACCCTTGACATCACTTGGAAAGCAGTCAGAACAACAGAAGAGGGAACAATGCCTGAAAGATATTTTGCAATTAGTAAATATTTCTGACTATCGGGGTGGGAGGTGGGGGTGGGGCAAGCCAAAGTCCAGTTATTTGAAATTTTTGGACGGAAAGCATTTAATTTTTTTAATTTGAGAGTATGAAGTCTGTCCTGTGGTGTGTTTATACAGCCTAATGCAATGCAATCCCCTGACAAGACTTTGTGCATCAAAATGCAACTAAAAGTAATCGGTCTCGTTGCAATCATAGCACATTCCTTAATACACAAAACAGCCGAATAAGATGAGACAACTTCAATCAATCAGCTTTTGGGAAACAGTCTTTCAAATAAACTGTGTTTGATAAAAATATCCAAGATTACTCTTCATTACCATGATTTAGAAAGTAAAAACAATAAAGATGTTTTGCACAGTATATCCCAGAAAACAGGAAGCAAAAAGCGTAACTACTTTGAAGAAACGCTAATCTAGCCCATAATCCGATAGATACAAAGTTTATAATTCCTTCTTGGGAATACAACTTTTTTAAACAAACAAAACAAAACCCAAGGAATAGCTGATGCATTGGTAGGTACAGAAACAATTTTGCAAGGAAGCAGATTTCACTGGTAAGAAAATTTCACTAAGCAAGTTCTGAGGTGCTGATTAAACCGCCACTAAAAGGATCCTACACACCCAGGTCTGACAGAGCAGGAATAGTTTTAGACTGCAAGATTACACAAAATTTCTAAACTTCACAGCACAAAGTTTTATTTTATTCCAATAGCATGATGAAGACAAATGCAAGAGCAGTTGCAGCTCCTAATACACAGTAAAAAGTGCTTCTAAAACTAATGCAAATCACAGCAAGCAACACAACAGCCTCAGAAAGATGTAAGACCAAATTGGAAAGTGAAAGAGAAAGAAAGAATAAAACCCAAAAGCAAGTTTTATTAGAATTATTTTCAGTCACACCATCATTATGTTAGTCTTCTTTCTGAGTAAAAAGAGGGAAAAATCCTACACGGTTCTCTTCAGTTTTATCGCGTATTGTTCATAATCTAATTTCTGTTGTAAAACTTCAGGGCAGAATTTCTGTTACTCAGACAACACAAAAGGGGGTGCTATAAAATCCCACAGTCTGTACTCATTAAAGGCTCACTCCTACAATATAATAGACCTTTTCTTTTATACAATTTAGATCAACCCTTCCTAAGCAAGATAAACTAATGTTCTTGCAAAGGAATCTATAAATAAGCCAAAAAGACTGTGTAGGAACCATCCAAGATTATCTCACAGGTAAGACAAACAAGGTTTTTCATTACAGCTAAGACAATGCCAATCTATGCCGTAAACAAATGACTTGCCAGCTACAATTTACGTAAACTTTACTTGCTTCTAATTATTTACTCATTGCACTTAAAAGGTCCCTGACAGACAATTTTAAACTTGGTACTTTTAAAAATATCTGTCACCACTTATCCAACGCTGCACGTGCTAGAGCGGTGCTTGACAGGGGGCTCAGGTCCAGAACCAAGCAGCAAGTAAGCCATGCCCAGACCTCTTCCAGATCCTGGACTAAGCCTCCCACCTCCAGCAGGAAATCCTCCAACTCCAATCAAGTGGTTCCTCTCTCCCAGGGAGTTCGCGACTGAGAACAGGCTGTATGCATAGCTTACAGGTGGAGCCATCGTATCCCTCCTAACTGAGCAGGCTAAAGCAAAGTCAACCAGTGCTAACTTTGGCTTACCAGAGGGTTACTGGTAAGCATCGCTATAGTAGGAAGGCTGGTACTGTAGTGATTCTGTAGGCTGGGCCTGTACTCACCAAAGCCTTCTTGCTTTTCTTCTCCATTCCCTTCACAAACTCCCTGTACTACTCTTGCTTCTTCATTTTGGTGGCTCCTATCACCTCTTTCCACACCAAGTTCCTCCAGGCAGAAGCTATTCCATGTTATCAATGCCATTCATACACTTGGCTTCTGTCTGCTACGTAAGTCAAGGAACTGCATGTTCACTTTCCATTTGCCTGTCCTTCAGTCTCTCCTCTTAGTCTCTGGGTTACATGTTACCTCCTCTCCATGCAGAGCCCTCCTTCTTCACTTTTTAAATCTTTGCCACATGCCAAAGTTCTGTTCTCAATCATGCTTGATAGAGACATTCCCCTATCAATCCTCATATTTTGAAGAACTTGCCTCACAGATGCTAACATTTCAGATTCTACTGAAAAGATGTGTAGAGAAAAGTTACGCTGATACACACAGCCATCTGTCACAGATAAGCTCCTCTACTGACAGAGAATTACAGCTCTAGTTATAGCAATTAGTTTAGCAGGGGCAAAGGAATCTGCAAATTTCCTGTTTCTCCTTTTACCAGAGTCAGTAGGACTACAGCAGGCAGCAGCAGTGTATGCACCTGTGCAAAAACCCCTCATTTTATTTAGCTGACAAATGCTTCCATTAACAGGGGGGAAAAAAAATCCATGGGCAGTTATAAAATAAGTGGGATTTTTGTAAAAAACTTTGTTAGGGAAAGCAAAACGATAAGAGTTATAATGGTATAAAATATTGCAACATTTCACTAATGGCTCTCTTCACTAATATTAAATTGTGCAACTGAGGATAACATGGGCTAGATGAATCCACACCTCAAATCAACTGAGCCAGGATTATTAGCTTTGCACACAGACAGGCTGGTACACTCATCTTGTCTGCTGTTCTGCACCAGCCTGGAAGGTGAAACACAGGACTCTCCTGCTATTCACTGATTTGTGTTGACATATAATCTAAAGTGTGAGGAAAAGATAATCCAATTAAATTTTTTTACACTCTTTCTTAGAGTTAGTCCTAGTAAACATTGGCATCTGCACACAAGTTTAGCTTAAGAAAACAGTAGAGCATTATAGATTTAGGATGGTAAAATAGCATCTTATTTGCAAGTTTTTTTGCCCCGTGTTCTGAGATTTAACTTGTCATTCTTGCCACTTGTTAAATTAGACTTCAAAAAAATCACATTTTACTATTAATTTTTTACAATTTTTTAAAAAGTAAGTATGGAATATTCTGGTAAAAAACAGTAATTTAGATTTAGTAAAATAAAACTGTATTGGAAAGACTGCCTTGGCAGCATAGGCAACTATATGATACATATAGTTTATTCTGAGAAGCCTTTACGTTAATTTGAGGAGTACAAGATCATTCATTTCTTGGGATGATCTGTGCACAGTCTACAAACTGCCCTTTGTAGGGCAGTTATAAGATAACTGCCTTTATAAGATAACATTTTCAGACTAACTGAATTAATCAGGAAGGTCAGAACTACTTTATCAAATACAGAATTAGACTGCCCTCTGCTGACAAATTTATGTATATGATTTTAAGTTTTCCAATGACCACATTTGGTTATTAAAAAAAAAAGTATCTTTTGCACAGGAATTCAATACAAACCTACTTGTGCTATAGTGATACACCCTCCAGTATGTAGGTTGTACGATACGTGAGAAATAGCAGGTTTGTAGCTGCAGCTTTATGAACCTTAATGCCATCTTAGTCTTTAAATAATAGCTAGCAAACATTCAGATAGGACCTCAAACACTTATATTTAAAATCACAAGACCAACTACCTGAACATAAGACCATCTCTTTGTGAAGACTGGATTGTTTAGAAAAATCAGAGTTAAGCAAAGGTATGCAGACAGGCACTGCTCTCAGAACATTGGCTTTAATCTTGTAGAGATTGTGACACATCATCTGTTCCACGAACAAAACATCCAAATGCTGAGGCCAAACTGTTCACTACTCATGATGACTAACAAACCAGACAAGATGCAATCCTGTCACCCAGATGTGAGACTCTACAGGTTGACTGAACCACGACACTGCTACTGACCCCAGGCCACATATACACAATTGAGTTCCTGCTACCAAGCTAACAAACAAGCCTCATAGTACAGGCTAACAAGAATTGTCGAGTCAAGTCTGAAGTAAATCTTACTCTCCCAAACAGTTCCATTAAAGCACAGCCGAACCTGGGATACAGAGTGGTTACCCCTTCCTAATTTTACAATGCGTACCTATGCTCTATGGATGTGGGCAAAGTTCTAGTGCTTGAAATGTTATTTTTATTGGAATTTAAGTTACTTCCAGCTAGAAATATTTTTTTTTTTGAGGGAAGACAGCTTGGTACAGAAGATTATAGGATGTAGAGATGGAGAGTAATGCTCTACTATAAAACATTTATAAACTGCTCTAAGATTTGTAGCATTGGAAGGATCTAGATAAAAACAGAATGTCAAGTAACTGAAAGCCTGTTACACTATTTTCCTTCTTGTGATTTAACTTGTCAAATTATTTAGTAAAAAACTGGAATCTACTTCAAGCAAAAATTAATGAGTTATGCAAGAATTAAATCTAGCAATTCACAGACCATAACATTTTTAATGCTAATATATTGCTAAAACTGCAGTATTCTATAAAAATAATAAAACTGAAAATTTGCAAGCTTACCAAATGCACAGTGCAGAATCTAGAACAAAAAGAAAAATTCAATCACTAACATTTCAAATGAAGCAATTCAGAAACACATTTAGTTTTGTCACAAGAGCTTAAGATTCAATATTTGTATTTCGAAGATTAAGCTTAATATTCAGCTCTGCTCCCCAAGCTAAATAGCAGACAGTAAGCTCCCTCACCAGTTGCTAAAAGGAAAAATTCAGCATTTGTGTGAGGCATATTTCTTATGTTTACCTTCAAATCACTCTATAAATGCTAATGAAAAAACAGGTACCTAGACAGCACTGTTCACAGGCTGCCTTATCTCTCCTAAAGAAACACTCATGCAAATATTAGTAACTCTAGGGAAGAAGACTACACCTACCTCAAGCAAAGCTCCAGTCTGGAAGAATTTCAGGGGCTTTTCTATTGAATAGTAAAGGCTATGGTAGCTACCTTTAGCCAGGTATGCTCGAACTAGACCAACTGCAATAACAAGCCATCTGAAAGAGAGGAAAAAAAAAGTCTAAGATAAGGAGACATTAAGCGGAGCATAAATACAAAGAAATCCTTAATCCCTCTTTCGGTATCTGAGAAAGCAACAGGCATGTAACTGTCCTGGAAGATACTAACTTTTTGCCTACCCTCTGCAAAACCGAACACATTAAATATTTGGATTCTCTGCAAATTTATCAAAGTTAAAGATTATGCATTTTTTAAACATCTTTCAGCACCAACATGGTACCAATATCTTTAATGTCTAAGTTTATTTTTCAGTGAGCTGTATTTAATTTAGTTATGGAAGGTATTCACGGCATTTTAAATAAGACTGGCATCACGTCTTGTTTAGTTTAAGCAGAAAACCATTTACTGCTACTCAAAGATCTCTTACCATACCATAACTTAAAGAAGTATGACATAAACAATTAAGATTCAGAAGGCATTCATTTTAATGTTTCAGTTCAAAGTAAACCCTTAGACTTTATGACAGACCATCCAGCTTAATTGCTAGCATATATTTTATGAGAAACAGTTATGGATAAGTAACTGCAAGAAAACTGAGCCTGCTAAAGCCTTGAAGGCAGCGATGGCCATTCCTGTCCCAGCTTTTCTTTTTAAGCAATAAACATATATAAACGCCATTCCTGTCCCAGCTTTTCTTTTTAAGCAATAAACATATAGAGGCTTATATAAGTAGTGCCTATATAACTGCAAATATACTATATTATAAATATATATATAATATATACTATATTATAAATATACTATAAAAAATGTGAACTGTTAACCTTGCTGATTTTCCCCTCAGGTAATTTAGGAAGCAACCCTACAAATTTTTCCTCCTCTCCTGGCTGATGCAGTAACATCTTTCAGTACTGTCTGAAAGATGTTCAGTACTTTACAGCTGTCCAGAGTCAATGTTCGCCCACAACCTCAGAAATTCTTCAGTGAAGTCTAGGACAAGCCACAAAACTAAGGTGGGTACACCCTGGTAAACCACTTTTTAATTTGAAATTAACATCTATAGTTAACTTTAGTTTCCAATTGCTTGTGGCAAACATGGGGAGAAGGGGTTGGTCAATGAGAAGTGGGAATCCTTACCAGTGGCTCCCAAACTTTTCACTGACAGGCTCATCCTGGCTGTCTTGCCCTCAGCTACTCTTAATGCTACCCTACTTTACCTCCACCTCCCTCCAAACCCAGAAGTGCTGTTACAAAGCTTGTGCTAACAGTCACCAAGCGTCTCTGCTAACAACGGTGCACCTCAGTGGAAGTGTGTGTAGACATGTAGAAACTCCCCTAACTATGCAATAGCTTTGTACCCTTCGGAAAAAAGTCTACAGCTGTGGTTTTGTAACAGGGAAGATGAAGAAATTCCCTCAATTTACAGCATATTAGATGCTTACAAGTACCACATTAGTTTAGGTATTATGAAGTATATACAAATATTGTCCCAAATGTAATAGTTGGTTGAAATACACTGTAAAGTTCAGATTTTTCAATAATTAACTCTGGCATCCAAGTTTGTGTTCATAACATTTGTTAGTACAACTGAAGAAAAGCTATGTCACTTCTGCCTGAACTTCTCAGAAGACTAGCACCAAAGAAAAGCAGTAGGAGGGGGGGGAGAGAAATAAGGAATGAGAAACAAGCCCTCCCTTTTTTCAGTAGTGACAAGCTATTTCAGTTAAAGCTGTCTTGTGAAACCAAAAGACAAACATTTGCCAAGTAATTGCCATTTACAAAGAACAAATCAAATTAATTTGGTATTTGGACTTCAGCGTAGAATAAATCAGTAAGTGCTATAGTATTAAGGACTCTCCCTTGCAACACTGACTGCTTCTCTTTTAGGATAGTAAATCAGAGCAGGCTGACACTGTTCTGTTCATATCTGTCAAGTTTCTCTATTTTTCCTAAACTTCCATGTTTGTTGAGAAACTTTGCTGAATTAAACAATTTCTCAGGTTACACAAGATACCAGTTCTTCATTGTGCCTGCAAACTGTTCTCACCTTAACCAAGCGACTGGTAAAGTATGTGGCTCCCAGAGGAGCTCCAGCCCCTTGCTCATCTCCACCCTCCCTGCCGGATCACCAACTCCAGAAAGACTGTACTTTCCATCACCAAAGACCACATCCCTCTTTTAATAATAAAATTACTGTCCTTCAAAAAGCATTTAATACAGATCAAAGTATTAATCTGCACAAAATTAAAAGCGGTGCCTACTTTGTGTTGAAGCTTTTAATACCTCTGTCCTGCTTCTGTGATTCTTAAATAATTCTTCACCTTCTATGACTAGAGAAAATGGAATAGGAGTAGGTGAAAGCGAGGAAGACCAACTGAAAAAGAAACTCGGCAAGAAGTTTAAAAGGGCAGCAAAAGGCACCACTGTCACATGGAACCTAAGCTGTAAGTTAGTTTTTCCAGCTTTCTCTGACCTAGACACTAAAGTGTACCCGATATACCAGCTGGAGTTACATTTCATTAAATTACCACTGCCATGCACATAAACTTTAAGCTAGACTCTTACACTCTTTGATTAATCCAAACTAAGGAAAATAAATACTGCATACACACAATTTTTTTACTTTCAGTTGCTCAGACTTGATAAGCAAGCTTCATGCTCAGGTCCTCAGTTTAATTCCCTTTATTTCTCTTACAAATTATAAAGAGGTGTTTTCTCATGCAAAGTTTACTGAGGTTCTGCATCATTTATGCATGAGATTACAGCAAAGCTATGCAGTGAATGAACCTGAAAAGGGAGAAGTGTACTTTGACTCTCAACAACCAGTCACTGAAGACGTGGACAATGAAACTTAAGACACTCTTTGCTCAACACTGATAACACGAACCCTTGCGAATTCAAAAGCATTACATTAAGATCTATCTTGTTGAGTGAAATCCTTTTGAAATTCATTGTTTATACCACCATCAGCTACTTCTACCAGAAGTACTAGTCAGTTAAGGCACTTGACTAAAAATAAGAAACATAATCACATTTCAAAGCAGCTTATCAAACATTTACACTCAACTCTAACAGCATGCCCTCCCTCCCTGCCCCCCATTATTCAGTGATTTCAGTCAACTACAGTTCTTAGGAAATAACTTCTGTGCTGCATCTATGCCTCCAGAATGAGCTTTCTATGCCAGGTCAGGCACGGCTACATGACTTCACACTGTGATGGGAAAATAACAGTTTGACTGAATGCAAGAGAAGAGAGATGCAACGCTTTCTACATCTTAACACTTTGAACCATCGTCAAAAAGCTGAGCAAGTACAGCTGAGAACCAACTGCAGGACTGGTTATTCCCTGTTGTGTCATGTTGGCCCCTTTTCTGAAAGAAAACACCCAAGCACGTGAACCAAATGGTAAGTATATGCAGCTTCACCTAGGGATCCACAGGTATATATACTTTTTCTACTGTTTTGCTCTTGCAAAAGCCATTGAATTACTAGGAATCCATATACTACATGCACTATGGTATAAAATTAGAAATAAGATCTATTCTTTTTAGAATCAATGTTTTCTTTAGCTAAGTCAAGATAAATGCAAAGTAAATATAATAATTATGCAGAGATTTTTCAATTGTTACTTGATCCATTTTAAATAAAGCTAACAGCTAAGGCAACTATGATTTTAAAACATTTACTCTACCACCTCTTTATTGCACAACAAAGCTGTTGTATGCTTCAGTTTAAAAGCCACCTTTTTGTAAAACAAAACCAAAAACCCACTTAAAAAAAATTCTTAAAAATGCCATGTGCTTTTACAGCATCACTTCATTATCTGGGCACCTTCAAATATTTGGTGTTTTCTTTCCACAATTCTCTTTCCAAGGCAGTGCTGTCTGAGAAACTAAGTCTGAGCACTCTGATTGACACGGGGACACTAACTAATTACTGCCACCAGCTGTGTATCAATCTTTTCATTTGAGCAACTGAGCTTCTGCCAACCAATTCCTGAAAAACTACTTTATTATGAAGTCTTTTTAAAAGAAGAAAATAACTGAGGTTTTTTTCTAAGCTCAACATTGTATATTGTGGAATTTCAGCAGTGTCCAGGGGAAACACAAAATCCTCATCCATTTGAAGACAAATTATCAGTCAGAGCCCTCAGTGACCTACCCCAAAAGAATGGCAGTGAGTGACAGAAGAGATATGAACCCCGATCACAGGACTCTTACGGTAGCTCCCCAAATTGCAGAAATCATCTAATCAAACATGTCCAGAAAAAAGCAGCTCATGTTAAAGCACCATAAGCCACATCCCAAGACTGGAATTTTCTAAGAGGTTTGGTATAAATCAGGAAAACAGGCAACATCATGATCAAGATTTACGTGACAACGGGAAGCTAAATACAGATTTATGCTATTTATTTCTGAGTTTCTAACACTTGGATTTGTTTTAATTTTTTCTTCTGAGGACATAGATATTTCATATGCTCAGGCACTTGCCTGCCATGATAAAAAGTTCAGGACCTTTAAAGAAACTCTCAATTTATACCGCAATTTCTCTCTCAGGTTTTTGAGGTATTTCATAAATGTAAGTGAATTAAATATGAGCAGCCCAATAAGCAGGCAAATGTTTTTACTTCTAAGAAGAGCTCAGAGAGGTTAACTTCTTAACATCGTGCAGGGACATCACAACAAGACTGAGGAGACCTCCTGACTGCCTGTCCTGTGTTGTATTGCTCATGTAATTACGTATTTCTGAAACAAGAGATTCATTTTTATCAAACTGGTGGGTAATTATCATTCCCCTCTGAGTGAAATACCCTGCAAATATCACATGGAGCCACAAATCTTAGCAGTTCCACTTCACAGCAACACGCCTATTGGGTAATGGGTGTAATGAGCACCTTACAACAACTGAGCTCTCCCCTCTCAGCCACCTTTGTTCCACAAAGTGTAACTACCTTAAAAGCTGAAATAGCACCAGCTGTCACCAGCAAAGACAAGAATCATCATGTCCAATTGCCTTATTGAAATAAATCATATCTATACTAATTCTATACTAATCTTCCCCAAAATTAGTGAGACTAGTCTGTTTGCCTGACTCCTCACCCGCCAGGATTTATCTAGTGGAAAACAGGCTCATTTGGGATCCATTTTAAAGGCTCTTGTTTCTTCCCACCCAAATATCCTCAGTCTTCCAAAAGATGATTTTTTTTTTTTTAACTGGATTCCAATAAGACTCTACAGGCTTTAAAAAAAAAAAAAAAAAAAAAAAGCTTCTCACCAAAAATCTATCCACGTTACAATAAGACTCTAGGCTTTTAAAAAAAAAAAAAGATAAAAAAGTCTCCTTTATAAAAATTTTGAGAGTCCCCAGGTGTCACTATTTTTATTTTTGCACCTAAGAACACACCCAAGCATGCACCAACCGGCCCAAGCCTCCATTCTGCTACACAGGGCAAGAGCAGAGCATCAAGCTGGCCTAGGAGCTCACGCGTTGCAAGCAGCAGCTTTCAACTTCACCCAAAGTATGTACCAGCTGAAGGGTTTACGGGGAAACCTCACAGGGCTCTAAAGGGTAACAGCTTTGCCTTCTTAAGTACCACTGCGGATAAGTTCCCTGCATCTAGGTTCACCTCTACTGAAAAGCGCTGGAGTCCACACCACAGACGTGGTGAGGTGAGAACAGTGATCTATACAATCACCTGCATGAGAAAATCGTTGCAGAGCAAATTAAGGCGTCAATTATAAAACACAGCAGTTCCCAGAGAACATGCACCCGTGCTGTTCTGCTTAATTCGTTTTGGAAGGGGCAAGTGGAAGAAGACATGCCGCAGAGGGGCTCGGCCGGTGCTGAGCAGGCTCACACCCAGGAGCTGCTGCCGTCTAGCAGAGGCCTCGCACAGGCAGGGCAGGGGCAGCACCAGGGACACGCTCCGAGGGAATAGCCAGGCACCGCACCTTTACCAGCCCTGGCTTATCGCCATAGCGTATGATGGAGAGAACCGAGAAAGCAAGCACAGCAGCTTTACACATACGCACAAGAAGCCCCTCTCCAGCGTGAGAAGCAGCAAGAGAGGGTTTTGGTTGCGTTTTTTTACCGTTATCGAAAGCGTGAGGCACGACCACTGATAGCACGAGGGACACATCCGATACTCGGGCAGGCACGGCTCAAGCTGCATGCACTGGAGGGGAGGATGGGGACAGACAAGAGAAAGGGCACAGCGACAGAAAAGACCTAACGAGTTCGTCTAGTCCAACTCCTGCGGCGGAGAGCAACTCCCCTCCCAGCCCTGCCCCGACCCCGCTCCACCCGCCGGGACAGC